AAATTTTCTGACTCCGCCACTGATAGGCGGTTTTTTCTTTGTTTGCATGGTGGTTTGTTTCCTTAAAAGTCACATAGCCTATGAATTTAAGTGTTACATGCTTGATCACTTGATCAGATAATGGTTGCTACTTAAAAATCGTTAATTTAGTTATGTATGCTATGATTCAATATGACACAGAACAAATCAATACTGGATACGCTGTCTTTTTTATCTATTGATGGTAACAGTGTTCTCACGTTTGATCTATAGATTCAATTTTTTATGTAGGCTATGGTGTGAGCGAACAGTCTCTTAGTCCTTTTCCTCGGTTATCAATTGTCTCATGTTCAAACAGTGTTCCCATTGTTTTCTTGTTTCCAGGTTGCAAGTCTCATTACCGAGCTAGCATCTGCAGCGGCTGCTGAGAAGGGAATTAAATTTGACGACGGCATGGAGGAGAGGCTCTGTGCTTATGCAAGAGCTGTTGCTCATTTCCCAACTGCTGTCAAAGAGGCAAGTGCCTATGTACAATGTTAGCACCAATAACTGTGACTTTTTAACTTGAAAAGCTTTTTTTTTTTTAACTCATGTTTCAGTTTAAATGGAGGAACGGCTGGTTCTACTCACTTACAGAGAAGGCACTTGCAGAAGGGAAGCCAGATCCTTGCCCACTGCATACTGAATGGCTTAAAGAACTCAAGATTGTATGAGAAATTAAACTTATCTCCCTTTGAGTTTCCTTTGTTTTTGTTCTGTGAATTATTGCTGGGAACTGCTTTGTTCTATTGCTCCATAGTCTTTGTTAAGGTATGAGCAATAATACGTTCATAAACTGGGATTTTGTCGCATCAATTGATCTTGCTTTGATCTTCTTTCCCTCTTTAAGCTTGTATAAACGTCTCTCCTTGGACATCTTATTCTTTATCATCGTTAAGGCTTCGTGTGGCGGGGGACTATTCTTAGATGGGCAACTTTAGATAACATCTCTTATCTGTACGTGTACGTCAGTAGCACTTATCACCATTAGGTGGTGCACGAAGATATCCGTATCTGAGGAAATATTCGTACTTGTATCCATATGGATATATGGTTACTAAAATCTATATTTGTCTTTGATAGATACGGTTATGGATACATGTATATTGTGAGATCAGGATTCCGTGTCCGAAATATCCGAATATATGTTTGTCATACAGCTGCAACATTAGATAAATTAATACATTTGAGATTAATTTTGATGATCAAGAGAGCTAATATGGTTACTAAAATCTATATTTGTCTTTGATAGATATGGTTATTGGTTCAGATATGTAGTGAAATATCTAGATCCGTGTCCGAAATATCCGAATATATGTTTGTCATACAATTGCACCCGTTTTAACCTTAGATAGATTCACAGATGTGAGATAAATTTTTTGATGATCAAGCAAAAGGTAATCTTTGCTTTTTCAGATATAACGAACATAGTAATTTTGTATCACATTAACTATATTTTTTTCAATCTTCTCTAGTTTTTTTTCCATGTCCATTTTGTATCTGAATGCATATCTGCAGATACATATGTATCCATATCCGATTTTAACGGATATTAATATGAATTTTTATTACAAACGTATAACATTTCCTTATCTATGATTGATAAGTGATATAGATACGATAAGTATCATATCCGAGTCGTATCTGCACCATACCATTCATAAGAAAGACGCCGAGTGATCTGTAAATTGTTTTTCTCACAATGCCAGTAAAGGGATGGTATGCTAAAAGTGTTGATGGGGGGTGACTAATGCGTGCAATTTACCTTTGGGGGGTGGCTGAGGAGAAAATTTTGAAGAAGACTGGATCCTCTCTAGTACCCCCCCCCCCCCCCCCCCCCCCCAAGTTAGGTGCTGTATTGATGAGCAAACTTAGGATTGAGTATGACTAATGATAGGGTTATTTGTTTACTTGCTTATTTTTGGGAAATGATCGTCGTCAACTGTTGAGTTATCTTAGGATTAAGTTTTCATGATGATAATTTATTTATTACATATACATAGAGAAATAGCGTGTATGAACCAAAAAAAAAAAAAAAAAAACATCTCGCGTGGGACGCGCCATAGCGTTGCCCGGTAAATAAAGAATCAAAATAGCTCGTCACACGAAATCGAATGCTTGAAAGATTGTCATCGGCAGCTCAGCAGAAAGTTTGAATTTCCCGCTCCCTCGCGCGATCAGCTACATCCTGCAGTGCGGGAAACAGCATGCCTCGCGACCAATCAAAACCGTTTCAGAACCGGCTGGTGGGCCCACTAGATCATCATCGCCCTGGGGCGAGCTGTTTTTTTTCTGTTTTTTAGGGCGGTGCGCATCTGGTTCACCTACCGCGTGGGCCACGATAACCTGCGCGCGCTAAAAAGCGCTCCTTCACCTCCCGGCGAAAAAGGGGACCGTGTCGGACACGTGTCAGTCGCCCACAGGCCTATCTGTTTCCCTACAGCGCGGCCGGTCCCTGCGGTCGCGGTCACGCGCTCTTTTAACATTCTCCGTCGAATACTAATATTTGATACCAAGATGAATAATGTCTTTTCGGAATTTAGAACTTGATTGTACATGAATAAAACACAGATCAAGTAAACCAACGGTTAACACGGACGGTTGATTGGTACCAATATGACTCCTATGGTTATTGATTCGCATATCTAGCCTTAGCTTTTAGATCCGTCGAATACATTGATAAACTCCAGTCGTGTAGACCCTAATTTATTTGACCAGATTTTTACGTCACGATATCTAAATGCTAAGTTCTCCTTACTCATATTAGTCGTATAGACCTTTGTTAAAAGTTTGGTGTCAAAGTTAATTTTTTCCTAAAGGTTACGGTATAAAAGTTGTGATTTTTGTAGGGCAAAACAAACTTTAGAGGTATCAAATTAAAATATGAAGCATACTTTAGGGACCCTAGACAAGAGAACTTTGGCATTTAAAAAGTTAAAATGAAGTAATCTCTAGGATATTTAAGTGCAAGTAACCCTTTGATTAACTCGGAGACATCAGGATTTGTGAGATAATAATTAAAGCGCAGGCCGAGATTCAAAACCCGCAAATAAAATCATTAAAAAAAATAAAACTATTCACACGCCACGTGTCCTCCCGCTTTTGGCGGAGGGGAGAGGTAAAGCAAAGCCCAAGCCCTTCAAAAAGGGAGGGAGAGCTATTAACGAAAGCTAATCGGATCCGGGTCAAAAAATGGGATCCGATAAGGCCATCGCCAGGCGGCGGCGAAGGACGAGATCCATGGAGATTGAGGACGACGACAGAAAACGACCAGCTCACCGCCGCCTGCGTTTGCTGCGGTACGATGAGCTGCCGGAGTACCTTAAGGACAACGAGTTCATCCGCGACCATTACAGGTCTGAGTGGCCGATCAAGGACGCGATCCTCAGCGTTTTCTCTTGGCACAACGAAACCCTAAATGTTTGGACGTAGGCATCTGATTCCAATTTTTTTTTTTCTTATTTTTTTAAAAGAAATATTTCGTTTATTTGTTTGTTGAATTGCTTGTGAGCAGGCATTTGGGCGGATTCCTGTTGTTTCTGGCATTGACGATGATGGAATCGATCGAAGCTGTCGAGGACGTTCGCAATGCGTTCGTTCCGACGATTTCTAGGTTCTTGATTGATTCAGCTTCTTTTCCTCAAAAGATTTTGTCTTTTTTTTTTAAATAATGAATAATGTATAAATTTGATAAATTGCGTTAAATTGGTAATTTTTCTTTGGAAAATCTGGCAGGTTTACGGGTGGATTGATGAATGAGAGTGAGATATCAAAGCATTATTCGGGGAATCTGTTATCGGTAAGCAAACGAATGGTATTCTTTTGTCTCGTTTTGCTTTTCGGTGCACTTTTTGATTTTAATGAGACATAAAAGTAAAACTGTTGGGTTACTGCTCATGGACCACTGTATTGGTGGGTCCTGTTTGAGGATGGAAGTTTGCGGTGGGTTGTAGAGAGTCCAGACGCTGCATGTGTGTTAAAGTTGGAATTGGGCTTGATTTGGTTCAACCTTTAGGGTCAGTTCGTCAAACGGAGCAAAACCAGACCAGGACCGGGTTAAGCCCAGTTTTGTTTTGGACCAAACCCCCCTTCCAAAAGAAAACTAGTTTAGTGACACTATTTGGGCACAAAAATGGGGTAAGATCTAGCCTATAATTTTGGCAAATAAGAAACAACACAAAATTGGACTAGGTCCAGTCATGGCCCAATTTTACAAAGTTGCCAAACACTCCCTTAGTTTAGAAAAATCATGGTTGTCGTTGTCATCATCAGAGCCTTTTTTTATCATAAGAATTGGTTGGTGTATGGTGCTTACTAGTCCTTGAAAATTTTTGCGAAGTTTTGTCACCTCGCCCTTAAACTGATTTAAGGGGATGTTTAGAACAAAGAAGGAAATGGAAGGATAAAGTGTTCTCACAAGAAATCACTTTCTTATTGCTTTCCATTTGCAAACCTTATTTGGATGATAAAAATGGATAAATAAAATTGGAAATTTTGGGGGAAAAGCAATAGATGACATCTACTTTCTTTATGTCATGTTTGGTTGTCATGGAAGGCGGATAAATGAAAGTAAATTGGAAAAGGGAAATGGTGTCGAGAGAATGCCATGTTAATTTATCTCTCCTTATCTTTCACTTTATGTCCAAATGGAATGTCATTAAATGCCAATGTTGCGCCTCCACTTACATTTAGGGGGTGTTTGTTTGCATGCAAGTGAAAGATGAAAGTGAGAAAGTTACTTTCATTTAACAATTAAGGTGTTTGTTTTCATGTAAGTGGTTATGAAAGTGAGATGTAAGAAAGTTGTCACATAAGATTTAATGCAATTTTGACTTCCCCTAAAAAAATGGTGAAGTCACATGAAAGTGACAAAAAGGTAAGTAATTTAATTAAATGATTTTAATTATATTTTCTAATTAATCTTATTTTGCCACGTCATCTTCACATTGTACTTTCAATAATAATTTAATTTTTCAAACAAACACTGTATTTCACTTGCGTGCTGACATGGATGTAAAAGTCATTTGTAAAAAAAAATAACTTACATATTTTAAATTCACTTTCAGATTGCCAAACACCCCCTTACTTTCCAATCATTTTACAGTTGCCAAACAAGAAAAAGTAGAAAGTAAAATTACCTGTCAATATTTGGTATACTTTCCGTTTAATTTCTATTTACTTAATCTCCAAATAGATGTTTTTGAAACCTATGGACGTACTTGCCTGCCTTAAATCTAAAAAGCCCAATTCATGTGTAGAAGATTGGATTTTATAAGTCATTGGTTTAGCTCAAGTAAAAAAGGAACTTTCCTCTCCAATAACTGAGTCATTGAAGGAAGAGGAAAGGTTTATTGCCAAATTTCATGCGAGAATCTTACTGGTCTGGGACTTCTGGAATTTCCTATTTGTAAATAAGCATCAAAAGTCATAGAAATACTTGGTATAAGTGAACACCAAAAGTGTCTTTGAAGTACCTCAGGACCCTCGGAAATACTCCAAAATGTTGGATGATGAACTTCGAAATTTTGGTGGGACTTCAATGACTTTATTTATACCATCCAACAATCCTATTGTTGAAAGTGATACTAGGATCTGTAAGTTTTCCTATTAAACTTTTTTTTAAATATAGCTATAGAGATACTAATATTCTAGTATTTCATTTTAAATTTATAAGGAAAACAGTATGAGGTCAGGCTCTGTCAGGATCACTATTTGTTCTCTGCCAGGATCACTATTTGTTATACATGAAGAAAAAGAACTATACATTCCTTTATTTATTTTTTTCAAAATAACTATTTTTCTTAACTGTATTAAAAATTGGATATGTTGCTTTTGTCTTGTTTTTAGTTGTTTTTATTTGATATTTAAATATATTTTAGCCACTATTTTTGAAGCTGAAATGATTTAACACAAGAAAATGTTTTCCTCTAAAATAATGAAAATAAGATGGACAAATTTTCCTTCATAGTAGTAGAGACTAAGACGAATAAATGGAAAATTGGAGGTGCAATCTTTTGATGTTACGAGTATTCCAACAATTGAAGTCTATATTTTGTCATGGAAATTAGTTGTAGTCGCTATTAACTTTATGATAAGGCAAATAACAAATGTATTGCACTAAGATTCTAATTGTGTAGGATTTGGGTGCGTCTATTCTAGGATAAATTTTGAAAACCATCTATTTACATAAAAAAATCGCAAATTCCGACCTATTCTAAAAAAATTTGTCAAAACCGACTTAGTTTCAGCCGTCTGGCTGAAACTGGGTCGGTTTTATCAAAATATGTTCCAAAACTTCACGGGACTTCAAGTCCTGTGAAGTTTTGTTATGTACAAAAACTTCACGGGACTTGAAGTCCCGTGAAGTTTCGGAAGATTTTTCTTCAAAACCTACCCAGTTTCAGCCCGACGGCTGAAATTGGGTCGGTTTTCACAAATATTTTGTGAATGGGTCGATTTTTGCAATTATTTTCAGGATGGTTTTTAAAATTTGTCCTCTATTCTACTACAGGAGATATACTAAGGGTAGAAAAAGGTTGAAGGAATGTTGTACATTCCATCATTTCCTTCAGCTTTTTGCTACCCTTAGTATTTAATTTCTATAGTAGAATAGATAACGTGTGGTGTTCTTAATTACCCTATGAGAAATATGATTGCCTTTGTAGGGTAGGCACTTGTACTTCTTCACATGTGGTTGCCATAAAAGCTTTTTCTAGCCTTTGTCAACTAGTTACTAACTAGCTTAACCAATTATCACCCTAAAAGGTGCGATCTTAAGAACAGATACATTTATCATTATGTAAATGCACCAGATTCTAATTCGTTTATAATATTATTTCTTACATTTGTTTTAGGCTTCATCCTGTAGTTGAAAGTGACACTGTATGTTACCTTATGGTTTATTGCTACACTGCTTCTTAAAATTTCTCCCCATTTGGGTTTGATCCTGTGCCCAAAGTCAATGGTTAAAACTGCTAGAACATAAAGCCCATGGCCAATTGTTAGGTACCAGCATATGCGCTTTAGCAAGGGAACATTAATTGCAATATGAGCATAGCAATTCTGATGTTCTTCTTTAGCCTTTGCCTAGTATTGTCACCTGAACTGATTTGTCAATACAATGTACACTAGATAAATCAGGACTTGAAATTCTGGAATGGCATAGGTATTGATGTGCTGTATCCTCATTCCCTTTTCTGTGAGAGGTAGGAACTTAAGTAGCACCTTGATGAAACTACGGCTATGTCAATGTTTGTGGCCTTCTCCTTTGAATAACCCACTCCAACTTGTCCTTTTCTTCATCCCAATATTTCACTGCATAAGCCATGATGTCCACTCCAACTTGTCCTTTTCTTCATCCCAATATTTCACTGCGTAAGCCATGATGTTTCTTCTTCAACACAAATGTTTAGTTCCTTTCTCTCTTTCACTTTCCTAAAATTTAGCTGTATTGCGAATCATATTTCAATGCCTGCTGACAGTTAAGTTCACTAATGCTTCTTTAATTTGATGAAGAACTTAAACTACCACGATGAACTATCGTGGAAGTGCTTTGCCTCACAAACAAATGCAGCTTCCAAGTGCCTGCTGACAAATTTTTATTCTCTTAAGTCTTAAGTTGTTAGTGTTATATGTTATTAACAAGTTAGCTATTACATGTGTTTCCTAGCAGCCTGTTATTAACTAAATTCTTCCTTTAAGGGCACGCGGAGGCTTAAAACTGATGCAGAGGAATGTATCAAACATAATATTTCTTGTTATGTTCATGATCATGTTTCCGTATTTACATTTTGTTTCAATAAATATTTCATCACAGTATAATCTTAATTCTCATAATTTATTTCAAGTAGACTTAAGTTGAAAAGTTGTACAAAAAACATAGCATTCGTAACCCACTGGATGAAGCTAAACATTGGGTTAAACTCACTTGGGCATCTTTCTTTCAACAGGAAGCTGCAGGGTTGCAGTTATTCCATTCGAATCCAACACCAAAAAATCCCACAATACCAAGATGGCCAAAGCTAGTCTTCATGTTCGGTTCCATGGCTTGCCTCTCTTGCAGCGCAATCTCCCACCTCCTCGCTTGCCATTCGCATCGTCTCAACCTCTTCTTCTGGCGCCTCGATTACTCTGGCATTTCCATCATGATTGTCACATCCTTCGTCCCCCCGATATACTACGCTTTTCTCTGTAATCCTCTAGCTCAGCTAACTTACCTCTCAATCATCTCAACCCTCGGGATACTTGTCATATTTACGATGCTCGCCCCTGCTCTCTCTTCTCCTCGTTTTCGTCCCTTTAGAGCCGCACTTTTCTTAATAATGGGGTTCTCTGGCGTCGTGCCAGCCGTTCATGCCTTGGTGCTCAACTGGGAGCATCGAGCGTGCCACCTGGCGCTTGTGTTGGAGGTGGTGATGGGGTTGGCTTATGCGACAGGAGCGGGGTTTTATGTGAGCAGAGTTCCTGAGAGGTGGAAGCCTGGTGCTTTTGACATTGCAGGTCATAGTCATCAGATTTTTCATGTCTTTGTGTTGGTTGGAGCCCTTACTCATTATGCGGCTACTAATGTGCTACTCCACTGGAGGGATGGAGGAGCTGTTTGCAGCAACGACACTAATGCCATATTTGCCTTGTTTTGATGTTTATCAGAGCTAGGATATCCTATTGTTGTGAAATCTTTTGTCTCAATTAGATTCTATATTACTGAGAGAGCAAAGGATCTATGACTAACTGTTGGAAGGTGAAGAGGGAGAATATAGAAGCAGGAGTATTAAAGCATTCGTCGTCTGGCACAGATTTGAATGATGTAAAATTAGTTTGTACATATATTTGTTCCATTTTGTATGTGATCCTGTTTCCAGGTCTGAGTGTAATCGTGAGAAGGGAAACATAAGAGGGTTCATTTTGTTCATGGAAATCTCGGTACTTTTTCTCTTATCGGGTAGAGAATGTATTGTTCCTAACGGATAGTGCGAGCGAATTCAAAAGCTGAGAGATTTCTACTCCCAGTCGTGTTTTGTTGTGCATCAGTTCAAAGGCTGGGGAGGTTTGGACTACAATTTGTGCTTGTTGTATGTATTATGTGCTAGTGTAATTGTTGTGCACTAAGACAAGGGTTGAGGTCATGGGCATTCCATTTTTGCTGTCATTCTGCTGTGGGTGCCCTTTAAATGTGATTTGTTTGAGTTGAAATTTCCTTTATGTGGGAATACTTGCATGTTTGTGTTTGAATTAGTTCTTGGTCACTGTATCGAGGTTGGCAGGGAGGAGATATGTTCTCCTTTTACCTTTTTCGTTTGCCAAACTTGAAAAAAAAATCGGTTTGCGTGGTTGTTTGCGTCAAAAGTTGACTTTGTCATGGAATTCATTATATCTTCGGTCGATTACAATAAATTCAAAAAAAGAGATAGCCTTTTTATAAGGCTCCTTTTACACAACAAAATAAAAATTACAACTCTTGAGAAACAAACGCAGGATCGTTGCTTGGATCGCTGCTTGCGTGGGATCTTTGCCTGTGCCGGGGTGCGTTAGCCCGTGGACCACCAAATCACAGATTCTGATCTGAATCGCTGAGGCTGCTTAATGATTACCTTCCTTTCGGCTTTATCGACCACGTGAGAATTTGCAAACCCGGTATCTTGATCAAGTAAACGATAATCGTCTTGCTTAAGCGATCAAGTCATAAGCTCGAATCTCAAGGAAGTGGCCGGCCAAGCCTTCAAAACAGGAACTCTGCTCTCTCTGCTCCTGAAGCCTGCCGCTCCAAACTGATCAGCCCTGATGTTTTCTCGCCCTTCCCCCCTTAAAAATCCCGATATCGGCCGGAGTATTTATAACCCTTGGCGACCGAGCAAAATCAGCTGTCCGAGCACAGGTATTGCCGTGTCTCGCTGCCGACCGGCCAGACAGCAAACGCAACCATGCTCTCGCCGGCTCCCGAGTCAGCTAACACGTCTCGGGTTCCGAGACAGTAAAACCCTGTCTCGGAAATCGTTAACTGCCCGACAGTTTCTTGTAACTACCTTTCCACGTTTTGAAACTCCGTTATTTTAGCAGTTATCAACGTGATTCTCGCCCATAACGTTTCCCACGTTTCTTGAACAGTTAGTGACCACGTATTGGCGGTTATGCAAAGTAGTTTTGGGCCTCTGTGAGCTGTCTCACGTGCGAGACAGTAAATTCTGTCTCGCACGGCGAGACAGTAAAGACTGTCTCGCCGGGGCGAGACAGTAAAAGTCTGTCTCGCCGCTGCGAGACAGTAAAGACGTGTCATCGGCCGGCGAGACAGTAAATACTGTCTCGCATGCGAGACAGTCTATACTTGTGTTCTTTTTTTGACATTTTGGATGACTTCCTTTTTGAGCTGTGTTTGGATTCCTTTCAGCATTTTTTGACGCCTACAGATACCCCCTCCAAAGTATTCCAGACTCAATCTTTTATAGAGGAGTTCTGGGATGCTTTGGATAAGATATGTCTTACTTATGATGGCTTCAACACTTGATCTCTTTGTCTCTCAGTCTATTCAGTGCTTTGTAGAATAGCTAAGATTCTTTCGGCATGGCGTTCATCGCTTGACCGTTGTCGGGATCTTGAATTGAAGCTGGAATTTGTACTTGTGAATTCAGCTTTTGTTATCAAATTGATACCGCATTATTAATCACTGTATCAGTCTTCATAGGAACACAGTTTATACTCATGTATTTTTGGAGTTCTCGGGAAATAGTTTAACCTCGTATACCCGTTGGGAGGTAGCCAGGTTATTCTTAAGAATATTTTGAGTGATATTCTCCAGAAACTTCCTGTTGAGGGTAGGGAAACAGTTTAGACTCGTGTACCTATCGGAGTGTTCAGGTTATTCTTAAGAATATTCTGAGTAGTATTCTCCAGAAATTTCCTGTTGAGGGTAGGAAAACAGTTTAGACTCGTGTACCCATTGGAGTATTTTGGTCTCTTTTTTGTTGGTAGAGGTGAACCCGATGATGGAGAGGAAGAATTTTATATTCTATCTCCTGATCTCTTGTTTGTTGGTAGAGATGAACCCGGAATCGGAGAGGAAGAATTTTATATTCTATCTCCTAGTCTCTTGTTTGTTGGTAGAGATGAACCCGACCCAGGAGAGGAAGAATTTTATATTCTATCTCCTGTTCTCTTGTTTGTTGGTAGAGATGAACCCGGCCCAGGAGAGGAAGAATTTTATATTCTATCTCTTGGTCTCTTGTTCGTTGGTAGAGATGAACCCGGAATCGGAGAGGAAGAATTTTATATTCTCTCTCCTAGTCTCTTGTTTGTTGGTAGAGATGAACCCGACCCAGGAGGGGAAGAATTTTATATTCTATCTCCTGTTCTCTTGTTTGTTGGTAGAGATGAACCCGACCCAGGAGAGGAAGAATTTTATATTCTATTTCCTGGTCTCTTGTTTGTTGGTAGAGATGAACCCGGATGATGGAGAGGAAGAATTTTATATTCTATCTCATAGTCTCTTGTTTGTTGGTAGAGATGAACCCGATGATCGGAGAGGAAGAATTTTATATTCTATCTCCTGGTGCAAAGGAAAACTCCAAGTGGGATCTACACTTAGAGAATCTGGATTGGTTTGAATAATCTTAAATGTCACAAGGTTTGATTATTCAACTAAAAGTGGATCTCTCGTTCATGGAAGGAATCGAGAGGGGATTTTGGTTGTGGTCCTAACTGAGTAAGGTTTTGACCAAGTGGGAGTTTTGAGACGATCCTAACTGTTTAAAGGTTTGATCGTTCAATTTGTGGACCTCTCGTTCATTGAAAGAATCGAGAGGGGATTTTGGCTTTGGACCTAACCGTTTAGAGGTTTTACATGACCGGGTTATCCTTAAGAATATTAAATGTAAAAATTCTCCAGGAACTTCCCGTCAAGAGTGGGAAACAGTTTAGACTCATATACCTATTGGAGTATCGAGGAGCAGTTTATACTCGTATACTCTTTGGAGTGTTGAGAAGCGGTTTATACTCGTATACTCTTCGGAGTTAGGAGAAAACAGTTTATACTCGTGTATCCCATGGAGTCAGGGGAAAACAGTTTATACTCGTGTATCCCATGGAGTAGTTTGGTCGTCTTTATTTGGCTTGTTTCGCCATTATGACGTCGGAGTCAATTAATGCTTGGATCTTATTTTTGAGTCCAAAGCAAATATTGGTGGGATGAAGAATCCTTCTGTGGTATGCACAGTAGTTTGGATCTGTAATCATCTTAGCACCCTCCTGATCTTTAATAGGCGGTAGCTCGATTTTATCATTGGCGAGGAGGTATTCTAATATGGCTGGAGCTTCATCATCTTGGAAAAAATACTCCTTTTGGAACCTCGGATCGAGAGTCGCGTTCACAGCGATTGTAGATGTCGTCGGTTGGCTTTTCTCAGCTTTCTTTCTTTTAAGAAAGTGTTCAGCTTGTTCGCCGCGTATTTTCAAATACGACCCCCAGAGCTTCCAAGACATCGATGGAGAGGTTATTGTGGCATGTTTGCAGGATGAACTCCTCTGTAATAGGATCTCTGCAATTCATTGCTTTGCCACGGAAGCGCTTGACAAAATTGTCGACTGACTCACCGTCTTTTTGCTTCTCATCCAAAAGGGTTCTGATTGACACTTCGGTGTCATCATCGAAGAAGTTACTGAGGAATAAACTTTCCATGTCATCCCAGCAATTGATGCTCCCAAGCTTGAGACGTCGGTACCAATCGAAGGCGGGCCCACGAAGGGTGCCAACGAATGACCGGACCATTAAAGCCTCGTTTCCAGAGATCATGCCCAAATGAGACTTGAAATAAATCAAGTGCTGAATAGGCGAGCTCTTCCCCTCAAACGGTGTGAAGTTAACCAGATTGAATTTGGCCGGGTATGGTATTGAATCCCATTCTCTTGGATAGGGACACGGAATACCTGTCTTTTTCCCTTCTTGAGCCGTCATCAAAGCGTTGATTTTATTTTCAAGATCTTTCATTTTCCCTTTATCGTCTATGTCTTCATTCGAAGGACGTTGAGGAGAATGAGTTAGACCACCCCCTGTGAGAGGTGCTATTGAACCACCCCCAATCTCGTTATTGAGAGAATCCGTTAGATCACCCCCAGCGTTATTGCTATTGGAAGGTGTATCAGCCATAATGACTTCATCCACTTCTGGATCACTATCATCTGCCACATTCTGAGTGTGGCGGCTGGATTCAGCTCGCTGACTGGACTCAGGAGGTTGAGGCCGTTGAGCTAGCAATTCTCTCATTTGTTGGATAGCTAACTCCATTTCTGTCTTCACTTCAGCTCTAATTTCTTCACGTTGTTTGGCTAGAGCTTCTTGAAGTATTTGAGCGAACTGATCAGAGGTGATTGTGAGTACTTCTCTGGTCTGTCCCGTGCTAGACATTGTATCATCAGAAGCGATTGCAGAATAAGTGTCCGAGAATTCATCCTCCGAGGACATTCCTTCTTGCATTCTCTTGTAGTCTCTGCGTCTGATAGCTCCTAATTGGAGTCGAGACATCCTTTGAGCAATTCTTGGATTGACTTTTCCTTTCGGGGAAAAGTCGGGATTTGAGTCACTTGAATGCTGTTTAGACTTTCTTCTATCAGCTACGTTGATGGTGACTTCAGGGAATTCATCATTTTGGACAGCTGCTCTTCTTTTGCGGAAATGTCTCGGCTTAGGTTTCGATAATACAGAGACTTTTCGTGGGATGACTTCTCGTTTGAAACAGTCACATTCTGATAATGCTGTTTTAACGAGTCGCGCACAGGAACAACGAGAGTTTATCTCTCAAATAACTCTCTTTCGAAAATTATTCATAACTTCAACTTGATAATACGACTCATCGGTATGATTGCCAAAAAATCGTATCGTCTGTTGGCATGATCTCCCAGGTATGACGATATCATTTGGTGAATGCGTCTTCTTCTGGGGGTATAAAACCTTGTTGGCATTCTCACCGACGGGCTTTGATTTAATGACTCCTTAATTGAAGAAGAGTCATTATGAGCAGAGAGGTTGCGAGTCGAATCCTCAGCAACAATTAAGCGAGAGTCTTCATCTGTAGTGTTTGACAACTTCAACAAAGATGAAATCTTCCTGCATTTGCGAGGCGAGGAAGACTTTACAGATGAGGATGATAAATACTCCTCAAACTTCGCTTGGTCGAACTCATACTCGACCGTTGATTCAACCGGGATCTTGATGGTTGGCCACGACACGACGGTCTCGACAGCGAGACCGTTGGCTCCCACTGTGGTCGCCAGCTTGTTTGCGTCAAAAGTTGACTTTGTCATGGAATTCATTATATATTCGATCGATTACAATAAATTCAAAAAAAGAGATAGCCTTTTTATAAGGCTCCTTTTACACAACAAAATAAAAATTACAACTCTTGAGAAACAAACGCAGGATCGTTGCTTGGATCGCTGCTTATGTGGGATCTTTGCCTGTGCCGGGAGCGCTTTGACTCGTGGACCACCAAATCACAGATTCTGATTGAATCGTGAGGGGTTTAATGATTCTTCCTGCGTTTATCGAAGTGAGAATTTGAAACGATATCTTATCAAAGTAAGATAGTCGTTCTTCTTAAGATCAAGTCAAAGCTCGAATCTCAAGGAATGGCCGGAAGCTCAGGAACTCTGCTCTCTCTGCTCTGAAGTGCTCCAAATGATCAGCCCTGATGTTTTCTGCTCCCCGGGGGG